GAGAAAAAATTGAGAGGGCATGAGGCAAATTTGAACGAAAATGCAAAAGAACCAGAGGTGGTGTTGGAAGTCTAACACCGTCTAGAGCAATGAAAATCTTAAGCTGGAACTGCATGGGGTTAGGGAGTCCCCGTGCAGTTCGAGCCTTGGTTAGGCTTATTCGGATTAAAAATCCCAGCATGATGTTTGTGATGGAGTCGCGACTTAAACAAGAGAAAGCCCGGAAAATAAAACACAAAACATGTTTTGAGTGTAGTCTGAGTGTGAGCTGTGTGGGGCAAGATCATGAAAGGGAAAAAGGCCTCATTATTTTGTGGAAAGAAAATGTTCAGGTTAACATTGCATATTTCTCTATAAATCACATTAGTGGCTTAGTGTCTGATGTACATGTTGATGTACCTTAGTCCTTTAATGGCATTTATGGTTATTCGGAGGAGCACAACAAAAAGTATACTTGGATACTACTGCAGGATTTATTAAGGAAAGGAGGAGACAAATTTATATACCTTCGGGGATCTCAATGATGTCATTGCTGATAAGGAAAAAATAGGAGGAATACCCATGTCTCTTAGTCAACTATCCTGTGGAAGAATGTCTCTGGAGGTCAACGACCTTCTTGATTTGGGCTTTGAAGGATATCCTTATACCTGGTAAAATGGTAGAATTTGGAAAGATAATATTCAATGTCGTCTTGACAAGGCTCTTGCTACAAGAAGCTTTCTAAACATATTTTCACCAGTTAAAGTTTGCCACTTACCAAGTTATGGTTCGGATCATCCTGTCATCAGGATCACTCTTGAAGTTGACATGGAAGACAGTAAGAAGAAGGGGGAGTATCTCTTTAGATTTGAAGAAGTGTTGAGTAAAGGTCCCAGATGCGAATGCTACATATCTCAATTATGGAATAACAGTTCTATGCAAACTGCCTACACGTTTAAAATTTTGCAGGGCCTGAGTGATTTTTTCAAAGAATATAAGCTTAGTTCAATAAATCAGGAGCTGAAAAGATTGGAAGGTCTTCTTAAAGATGAGAAGAGATGGAAGTCAGATGAAGTATCTATCAAAACCTATAAGGCTCTGGAAACTCAAAGAAACAAACTATTGCAGTTTGATGAAGTTATGTGGAGACAAAAGAGTAGGGCTGTTTGGTTGCATCATGGTGACAAAAACAAAAAATTATTTCACAAGAAGGTGGAGCAGAGGAGGAAAACTAATACTATAAGGAATTTGAAAGATGAGAATGGTCGTTGGTGGAGGGGAGAGGAACATTGTGAAAGCCTGCTTAGCAATTATTTTGAGGAGCTCTTTACTTCTTCAAATCTATCAAACATTGAGGAGGTTTGTAGTGTTGTTCAAGCAAAGTTAAACTCTAGTCATATCATCTAGTGTAACAAACCTTTCACACTCTAAGAAGTTAAGGATGCTCTTGCTCAAATGCACCCCCTCAAAGCTCCTGGCCCAAATGGCTCACCTGCTCTATTCTTTCAAAATTACTGGCATATTATGGGTAATGAGGTTGAAAAGCTCGTTTTAGATATTCTGAACCATGGAAAGGACTCGAGTTTCCTAAACTCCATACACATTTCCCTTATCCCCAAATGCAAACACCCTGCGACACCCAAGGACTTCAGGCCTATCAGCCTTTGCAATGTTGTGATGTAGTTAGTTACTAAGTCAATTGTAAGAGAATCAAGAGAATTCTCCCTGATGTCATTGATAAAGAGCATTGTAGATTTGTACAAAGGCGTCTGATCACTGAAAATGCTTTAGTGGCCATGGAATGCTTCCATTGGCTAAAGAAGAAGAAGAAAAGGAAACGTGGCCACATGGCTCTGAAGTTAGACATGTCAAAGGCATATGATCGGCTGGAGTGGAATTTTGTTACGAAAGTACTTTCTATGATGGGCTTTCTAAAACACTTGGTGGATCTTATTGAGAGATGCATCTCCACTGTCTCCTATAATGTCCTCCTTAATGGTCAACAATAACGTTGTTTTGTTCCTGGTCAGGGTCTCTGACAAGGAGACCCACTCTCACCTTATCTTTTTATTCTTTGTGCAAATGTTCTTTCAAGCCTTATCAAGAAGGAGGTAAAGGATGGAAAAATCCATGGCTTAAGGATTGCTAGGAAATCTCCAATGATATCTCACTTCTTTTTTTGTAGAAGATAGCTTGTTATGCTCGTGCAAATGCTAATGAGGCATTCAGAGTGCTTGAGGTCCTCCACAAATACCAACAATCTTCAGGCCAGGAGGTTAATCTAGACAAGTCTGAGACATCTTTTAGTCAAAATATGGAAGAAGAAGATAGAGACATGATCCAATCAAGGGTAGGAGTAAAGATTATGGTTAGCCATGATAGATATATGGGATTACCCGTGGTTTTTAAAAGATCCAAGAAGGATGTGTTTGTTATGGTTGTGGAGAGAGTTTGGAATAAAATCAAGGGATGGAAAGAGAATTTCTTATCTCGAGCAGGAAAAGAAGTTCTCATTAAAATTGTAGCCCAAGCCATCCCTAACTACATTATGAGCTGCTATAAGATTCCTGAAGGAGTCTGCAATGAAATTAAAGATTGATTGAAAAGTTTTTGTGGGGCTCGAGGAATGGAGAAAGGAAGGTTCACTAGCTAAGGTGGGACAAAATGGCAAGAGCTAAGAAGGAAGGAGGCATGGGATTTCGAGGGATTAGTGAGTTTAACACCAACTTATTAGGGAAGCAACACTAGAGATTTCTTAGGAAAGAAGAGTCCCTTGTTGGTAAAATTTTGAAGGGAAGATATTTTCCAAACTGTAGCACTGATGATTACCCTACAGGTTTTAATCCAAGCTATGCTTGGAGGAGCATTGTGAGTGCTAGACAGTTGGTTCATCTGGGATCAAGATGGAGGATAGGGAATGGCTAGAAGGTGTCAGTGTTCAAGGATATGTGGATTCCTAGAAATCCTGGTTTGAAGCTTCTGCAGCATAGCAATGTTTTTGATTCTGATATGAAAGTTTTGTGATTTAATTGATGAGGTTTCTGGTCGTTGGAAGGAGGATTAAATATTCTCTTCCTTTGGATAGGCAGATGCATTTCGGATATACCCCTTATCCCATAGAAATATTGATGATGAGATCATCTGGCATTATGAAACAAAAAGCCATTATTCAGTGAGATCAGCATATCATTTGTGCATGAAGGATCAACTTAGCTCAAGCCCTGGACCTTCTAATGACCCTCACCAGAATTTGTGGAAAATGATTTGGAAGATTCCTCTTCAGAACAAGGTTGGGAATTTCTTATGGAGATTAGCAAGAAACATTCTCCCTTCAAGAGATAATCTCAGGAAGAAAGGTATCATTCTTGACTCATCTTGCCTCTTCTGCCATTCTAATCCTGAGACAGTGGATCACATATTTATGGACTGTGTTTTTGTTAAGCAGACTTTCTTTTCATATATACTTAGCCTTATAATCCCATATAATGAAGGTATCTGTTGTTGGCTTGAGAAGTCTCTATTTGGGAAAGACTTCATGGTCTGCCAGTTAATTAGTGCCACTCTTTATAAAATATGGTTGGCAAGAAACTCTCTCCTCTTCCAAGCTAGAGTCTCATCTCCTTTACAGGTTGCTGCAGAAGCTTTGGACATGGTGCAGAAATTTAACGTGTGGAATAAGAGAAAGGATCAAAAGATCTCTCCCAACAAAGATGATACATGAACTAAGGGGAATCAATATATCTTCCAAGTAGATGTCGGGGTCTTTGAAGAGGGTGTTACAACTTTTGGTTGTATTGTGAGGAACCATGAAAATGAGATTAATCTCTCATCCTGCAAGTCCGAAAAAGGTTGCTTGATCCTACTGCAGAATGCTTAGCCATCAGGTGGGGTATATAACTAGCTCTGAACATCAATGTTTACAACCTCATGCTTCAATCTAATTCTTCGAATGTTGTGGATTGTATTAACTTGTGTAAAGTCTTTGCTATCATCTTCGAAAGTTGTGGATTGTATTAACTTGTGTAAGGACTTTGCTATCATAGAACCTATTGCATAGGACTTGTAAAGTCCTCCTTAAAACCTTTTCTTTTAGTTCTGTTATGTACATCAGTAAAAACAAAAATTTCCTTACTCATGGTCTTGTGAGAATTAAAAAAAATTTAGATTCCACGACTTAGTTAGAAGAATGCCCCTTAATTGACGCGCAGAGTTCTGTTGTTCAATTTTCTGCTTTTTAATAAAAAGATCTTTTCTTATAAAAAGAAAAAACATGGTGTGATTTCTGCAAATGAACACTCTTAATTCTCACAAGTGTACCACTTATTAGTGGAAAAGACGTCTCTTCCTGTTTTCAAACCAACAAATAAGTTTCTTTTTTTATTTATTTAATTTTATAATAATAATACTAATAAAAATATTTGTTCCGCTTGACTATGTTTTGCTGTATATATATTTTAGTGTATGTATATACATATTACTGTGTTTTATTATACTCCTTACATTTTTAATTATAAAACTAATTAACTTTTTTTTTTTCTTAATATATAATAATATCTTTTTAAACTTAACATGTTTTTTAACAAATTTCTAAACATTTTTTCCCATAGTCAATTTCACATAAATAAAAAATGAAAAGGTGCTGAAACCTAAAACCTATATCAAAATCTAGCATCTAAAATTTCTGTGTAGTTTTTTTTTATGATATCTCCTTTTTAAACTCAAACATTAACATTCCCAATATTTTTGACCAAGAAATTTTTTTACATATTATGATATTTGAATATTTCCCTAGAACACTAAATTCAATAAATTAATTCAAACAATTTAAATATCCCAATCCAATGAGTTAATTAAACAAATCAAAAACTAAAAAAACAGAAAAGAAAAAAAAAAAAGAAACTACCAGAAAACCTCACTACAGATATTTTTCATCTATACAACAAAAACAACAAATCAAAATCACCAATTTTTAAAATTCCTATATACATGAACATAATTAAATTCTAAAATTAAATAATTTATTATCTCAACAGAGGAATTTTATTACTACCTAAATTTCTAGAATCTTCTTCTTCAAATTCTTGATCTTCGCCGCACTCATACATCGATCGAACAAGAAAAAGTTGATCCTCCAGGTATCTATGCAACAACCCCTTCTCCTCCACCTCTTCATCGTAGCAACATCCTTCCTCGCACCGCCGAAGCCGATCGCCGGAGTCTTCGCCGGAGAAGCGACCGAGGATTTTCCTCCAGAGACGGCGTCGGAGGCAAATTTCTGTGATGCAAAGGAAGGGGAACGTGACGAAAAGGAAGACGAGAAGGAACGGTGAACAGAGGAGGAGGAAGAGGTAACGGATCCGACGGTTTCGAAGCCATGAGATCGCGGCGTAGACGGATGAGGTTAATGTGAAAGGCGGAGGAGAGATTGCGGTGGCGATGCGGTTGCGTCGGGGGTTGTTATCGTTATCGTGAGGGGGGTTATAGGGTTGGAGGATTGAAGAGAAAACGGCGTCGTTTTTGGGAAACGGTGGTTTTGGTGGTGGTGGATTTGTGCCACCGCGAGGGTGAGTTACTTTGTTGTGCATAAGACTTTTGATTTTCGCGAGTGTAGTGTTTGTGATGTGTGAGGTGTACGCATGTGATGTTGACTGTGGTGCTTTGCTTTGTGAGTTGTTCTGCTATGGAAAATGGAAAAAGGAAAATTGAAATTAAACTTGCCTTTAAGATTAAAAAAACTGTTTTTCAGTTTATGTAAGATAAGATTGGGCTTTTTTGGGTTAGGTGTTGTTTGTAATAAAAAAAAGTAAGATTGGGCTCTTCTAAGGTTTAAGAAATTTTAAAAGTGAATATTGTCTTTTCATTTTGTACTTGTCTCTAAAATGTTAATATGGATATTTTTTGAAAAAAAATATTTTGGAGATCTTTTCACGTTAATCAACTTATATTTGTTTTGTTTTGCATTTGATATTTTTTAAACTCAAAATGATAAAAAAAAAACTCTCCAAACTGAAAATAAAATGGAGGATATACTGAAACATTTATGACATAAGAGAACAACTCAACTCAACATGCATTTATAAAAACAATGCCAACAATAACTTAAGCGTTATCTTAGGAATAAAAAAATGGGTTGTCCCCACTATAGACTCAAGTCGGATCTCAGACTCGTTTTTAGGTTATATTTCATCTTTAGACTTTTATATTTGTATAATTTTGGGGAATTTTTAAAGTACTTTATATGATTCCTAGACATCTTACGAAATTTTAAAAATATTTTAAATTTTAGAGATATATTTTCAGACGTATTCAATACACAAATTTCAGTCAATTTTGAGCCACATCTCAATTTTACGAATAAATTTATTCTAAAAATGTATCTCCATAAAAATTTCAAAAATTAAAAATTAGGATGTTAACTTTGCATTTGTTCTTGTCAAGGTTGAGAGTACAACGATGAGCAACATGGAAACTTTGAAAGCTGAATTATGTGAATTTTTGAAAGCTAGATATCTTGGAAAAGCTTTGAAAGGATGCAAGTAATTTTGGACTTGATTGATCCATGAACAATGCTGCCAGATATCAATGGGTAGTGGTTGATATTTGGCAAAGGTGGCACCACATGTTGTTTTGTGATTAGGGGTGTGCAAAATAACCAATAACCATAAATCAAATTTCTATCTAAATTAATCCAAATTTTAAAATCCAAACCAAATTTATATTTTAAATTTGGTGGCTCATTTATCAAATTAAAAAAAAAACGGTAACCATTTGTTCCAAACCGGTTTGAGATTTGGTAACCATTTTTCAATGAATAGTTTGGAAAATTCAAGATTAACACAAATTTCAAAAATCTTAATCCTCACAATCCAAATTTTATTCATCTCTTTCTTCTTGAGAAAAACCGGTTTTTTTTAAATAGAAGATATAATTTCTTATAATACAATTATAAAGTATTAATTAAGCGATTTTAAATTTTTATAAATTAATTATAGACCAAATCATAACTTAACATTTAAAAAAAAACAACAACAAATAAACGTTATCATGACAAATTAAGATAAATTCTTTTAAAAAAAGAATGTTCTCCCCTTAAATTTATTTATTTTATTTTTTAATACTTACAAAATCATTTTTAGAATTTATAGTATTAATGAAATCACAAATATAAATTGACAAAAAAAGAAATCATAAATATAGAGATTCAGTAATAGTGAAATCATAAATTTTAATTGTATAAATATTGTTATAATTTTAGAAATTATTAATAATTATTTGAATTTTGTAATAATATTCATTAATTAGTGTTTGAATTTTGCAATTGATCCATGGTTTAAAAGAGATCATATTATTTGAAGCAGATAGGAAAATGATGCTAATGGAGTCTCCTTGGAGGGTCTCGCAAATATGGGTAATGCACAGAAGAAAATGTGGGAAAATTTTACTATTACTGAATCTCTATATTTATGATTTCTTTTTTTGTCAATCTATATTTGTGATTTCACTGATACTATAAATTCTAAAAATGATTTTGTAAGTATTAAAAAGTAAAATAAATAAATTTAAGGGGAGAACATTCTTTTTTTTTAAATAAAAAAACTGGTTTTGAGAGAAACCGGTTTAAAACTGGTTTTTAAAAAAACTATTTTTTTCTTAAAAAACCGGTTTGAAATCAAACCGATCCACTTGTAAACCGGTTTTAAAAAAATAAACCGGTTTTATATAAATGGTTTTAAGATCCAAACTAAACCATATATGTGGTTTGGTTTGGTTTGGTTTATAATCCATGCACACCCCTATTTGTGACGTATATGACATAAGTTTTGAGTTTTCGAAAATGTATTTTTGGAATTTTTATGGAGATATATTTTTTAAATAAATGTATTCGTAAAATTAGATTGTGACTCGAAACAAATTAAATGTGTGTATTGGATGCGTCCAAAGATATATTTTTGAAAATTGAGGGTATTTTTAGAATTTCGCAAACTGCCTAAAAAGCATCTAGGGTGCTTTAAGAAAGTATAAACGGTTTCTTTATGATCAAGAAACACACAAGGGTTAGGGTTGAGAAAGAAAATAAGGTAAAACAACAAGGAACAACAAGACTTGGTTATAAACAGTTATTTTTTCCTTTCTCTTAGAACAAGATTACAAGTATACAAGAATAACAAAATAACCTTTCTCTCTTGAAATTAGGATTTTATCTTCCTATTTTTCCTTATATCAAGATTAAGAAACTAGCATCCTATTTATAAAAAAAATAGCACACTAACTTAATGGGCTTTTTAACAATTAGCCATTACAAGCTAACTTAGGGTACAAACTAACTTAAATAATTGAGCTTACAAGAAAGGCCCAATCCAATATGCTAACAACCTAGCAATATTGACTAATGCATGTTAGAACAAACTTCGACTACAACACGCATTATCTTCGACAGCAGCATGCGAACAGACTTCGACCTCATGCTTAATCCCCGTCGAACCAGAAGCTACCCTTCGACCATACTAGAGTTTGATCCAACATCTCACAAATCTCCACCTTGGATCTAACTCTATAACATCAAGAAAATTGCTTTCTTCATGCAACTTTATCAACTGCATACAGTGGAAAAACTTGCATCTGGGCAACGTCTTGGTGATTATATCAGCAGCATTATGATTTGTCGAAACCTTCAACACTTGGACTTCTCCACGCTCGATTACCCGTCTGGAGAAATGCAGCTTCACATCAATGTGCTTGGTTCGCTCATGATAGGCTGAATTCTTCGACATGTGTATTGTACTTTGACTATCACATTTAACAGTGATAACTCGACCTTGAAGTTTCAGCTCCTTTGCAAAACCTTCAAGCCACAATGCTTCCTTCACAGCTTCATTTAGGGCAATATACTCCGCTTCAGTGGTTTATAAGGCAACTGCCTTCTAAAGTGTTGCTTTTCCGACTGATTGTTGTCCCAAACATAGTGAACACATATCCAGAAATAGATTTTCTAGAATCCATACAACCTGCATAATCAGAGTCGACATATCCTTCAATTGCTGCGTTACTATCTTCACCCAAGGCTCCACCATATATTAGGACTCTATTCAGAGACTCATTTATGTACCTTATAATCCACTTCAATGCTTGCCAGTGAACCATTCCAGGATTTGCCATGTACCTACTTACAAGACTTACTGCATATGCTATATCAGGTCTTGTACAGACCATAACATACATCAAAGAACCTACTATGTTAGCCTATGGAATGCTATTCATATAAGTTCTTTCAACATCAGTGCTGAGACACTAATCTATACTCAGCTTGAATTTGAGGGTTTGTCGGAGTCACGACAGGCTTTGGATTCGACATACCATACTTTTTGAGAATCTTCTGTAGGTATGCCTCTTGAGATAAGAATAATCTCGACTGATTTCTATCTCTTCGGATGTCAATCCTAAGAATTCTGGACCTAACTCCCAGATCCTTCATGTCGAACTCCTTGTTGAGTTCAACCTTCACCCTCATTACCTCTTAGACATTGTTGATTGCTATTAGAATATTATCCACATAGAGCAACAAAATAACAAATTAATTACTCGGTCGAAATCTAAAGTAAACACAGTGGTCGAACTGACTTCTGATGAAACTTATGCATGCCATGAACTTGTTGAATCTCTTATTCCACTGCCGAGGAGATTGTTTCAGTCCATATAAGGATCTATTCAGCTTGCACACATAATTTTCCTTTCCTTTTTCAACACACCCTTCAGGTTGCCTCATCAGGATTGTTTCATCTAAGTCACTATACAAGAACACAGTCTTCACAAACTGGTTCAGATGAAGAAGATGGTGAAAAGGAGAAGAATCTGTCTGAAGCAATTGCCTTGCTTGGAAGACAGTTCAACAAACTGGTCAAAAGGATAGATGTTAGGTCTAAACCTTATACCAAAAGCATGCCTTCTGATAAAGAGAAATCTGAAGATAAAGTCAGCCAAAGCAGAGGAGTACAATATCATGAGTGTGAGGGATATGGTCGTATTAGAGGAGTACAATGTCCTAACTGTTACTTGGTCAGATGGAGATTCTAACAGTGGATCAGAAGAGGAGTCAGCTAAACATGTCACTACCCTTAACAGTATGGGTATCTCTGATGATGACTCTAGTGAAGAGGAATTGACTTTTGAGGAAATTGCAGCCTCATATCAAAAGCTTCATATCAGAAGCACAGAACTATATCTGTAACAACCCAATTTTTATTAATTAATTATTTATGTTAATTAAATGATTTGTGGGGATTATTTAATTTATGGATGATTAATTAAATGAAATTGGTAGATATTTGAGAGGAAATAGAATGGAAGGAATATAAGGGAAAGTAGAAAGAAAAGGAAAAGATAGAAACATAAGAGAAAGAATAGAAAAGAAGGAGAAAGAGGAGAAAAGAGAAGGAGAAGAAGGAAAAGTTGGAAAAGCTCAAGAACAACTCCTAGCTTCCGATTTAATCAAGGTAAGGATATGAAATATCATTATCTTGTCAATGTATATGATTATGTATGCTTGGGTTAGATTGTTGGATGTTTTTCTACAACTTCCATTTTAGGA